AAACTTTTGGTCAAAATCATCTCCAACATGTTGATAAATCACAACAACACAATATAAGTATTAAATTAAACTGTGAGAAACTACATTTAGTTATTATAAGACTAATTTTAAATCTAATATGAAAATTTCAAAATATTCAAGCTAAAGAAAAGTGTAGTATACCAATATTTATTGTTACAGACACAAGAGAAATCAAGCAATTAAATTGCTATATATAAAAAAATATTAGTACTCTTACAAAAATGGAAAGAAAAATAAAAATAAATAAAACACAATTATCTCGACTGACTTTTGTAAATAATCATTACATTACCATAAATACGTCCTATACTAACCTAACACTAAATTTAGTAACTTAAAACTACCAAAAAATAATAATCAACTTCTACTAGGATTAGAATTAGGCAAAATAAAACCCTTATAAATATGTACTCTATCGTTATGTTTCTAATATGAAAAAAAAAACTTCTTACTTCTACATACTTTTTTTTATTTTCTCAAGTTGTTACTTTTATCTACTTTATCCTTTTCTCTGATCATATTATTAGCTCAAAAATGGCAATATATGTCCCTACTGCGCACTATGTCCATTTTCCTTTTTTGGATACGCAACTAATGTTCAACCTTGCATCATTGGATATGTATCTAATGTTCATGATCATGATCAATCCGTAGTTAGACAAAGAGATGCCCCTAGGTATATTAGTTGGTCATTCCCTCCGTCGGGATATATTAAGATCAACATGGATGGATCTTTTATGCAGCATTCAGGGTTAGCGGGATATGGAGGCATTGCAAGAGACGATAGGGGTAGGTGGCTAGGAGGATTCGTGGGGAGATTAGGTATGGTAACAACGTCGTGCCTCACGGCAGAACTGTGGGCCATACATGGCGGATTGAACTTGGCGAAGAACTTCAAGCTGAAGAACGTCATCATCGAGACTGACTCTCGTGAAGCATTGATGCTCATAATGAGTAAGGGACGCGCTGTCAACAATCACCTTGATTGCGATGTGATAAAAGAGTGTCGACGTATGTTGTCCGAACTTGGGATCTCCATGATGCATACTCTAAGGGAAGGAAACAACTGTGCGGATCACCTGGCGAAACTGGGAAGAATGCAACTAGATGAAGACCTTGTAATATTACATCATCCGCCACATTCCATGCACCAACTTCTTCTCGTGGACATGGCTCACGTTGCATACCCTAGGTACCGAAAACATGTACGATAGTTTAGTACATATATCACAAAAGAAAAAAAATATGAAATTGTACGTAAGCATTTGTTAGTATAACAAAGAATATAATGAAATATATTTTTGGTAATTCATTGTAGGATTTATGTTTATGTTTGGTTGTGTATATAAATGATGAAGGACCAGTATCTATTTTCTTGAAATCAATGTTCATGGGAATACCTTGTTTCGTATTGATTGTCGTTTTGGTTTTTCAATCATTTTAGTTGTCTCGATTTTAAATTTTGAGACTAAATTCGTAGCTAAAATTAATAAACACAATAAAATTTATATATATTTTATCGTTCCTAGACGGCTATAAGATTAGACTTGATTTTTGTTGAACTCACTAGTGTACTTGACGGTCTCGTTAAAGTATCAAAAGTAGTAAGATTTTATATTATGTATAAAAATATATGAATGAAAAACTTTAAATAAATAATAACTATATTAACATAAAAATTGATATATAGAAATATTAAGAAAAGAGTGAAATGAATTAAATTTTGTATCCCAACGTTGAGGGGAGATAAAGTTGCTTTTCACCTTTTTAAGCTCCAGATATTTATATTAACTGAATATTTGTGGCTTTTTTATTGTATAAATAATTTAATTGTTCAAAATTGAAGATATATATTTGAATTTTTTTTCATATTTGCCTTTTTATTTATTGAAGTTTTATATTTCTAGGAAATAAATTACACTATTTATAAAGTTATATTTATTATTTCACAAAGGGTAATAGTGAAATTATAATTTAAATTAAGTCTTTAAATGTTAATATTCCTTCCGTTTCTATTTACTTGTCAAATATTTCCTAATTTAATTTCCCTTTTTACAGGAATTTTTGACAAATCCTCGAATGCATGTTGTCCTATTTCACTTTTAGGAAAAATATCTTAAGTATTCCTATTTTGATTAGAGATTAATTATTTTGTTTAGTTTTAGTAACTTAAAAATACCAAAACAAAAGCATATAGTGTGAAATTAGAATAATACTTCATAAGATAATTACCATAAATACTTATAGTAACCTAACACTAATTTTCGTAACTTAAAACTACCAAAAATAATAATCATATTTCTACTTCTTCTAGGACTAAGCTAAAACATTTGCAATAAAGTGAGACAATGGAGAATTATGATGAATAACAAAGCTACCATTTCAATTAGTCAACAACATAGATAATAATCAACATAGCTACTTTGTTCAATTACATTTTTTTTTTTTAAAAGAGAGAATTATCAACTAAACTGGAGGAAAAATGAATAAGAATTTTCCTAACTACTCTTTTAAGTACAAGTGAAAAATATTGAAATAGAGTCATGTACAAGCCATATCGTCGTCTTTGAGCAACTCCAACCACCTCTGTTGCCTCGAATTGAGATCCCTCTGTTAGCACAACTTGCAAAAACTGAATCTCATTTCCCTATTTACCAAACTTCAGCTCAAAAATGACTCAGATCCCTGCGCCAACAATAACGAAAACACAAATTTAACAGGAATATACACAACATTTGGCTTTGACATATATAGTAGTTTCATATACAACATAGTGTGGTACTAATGACTCAATACAATAAAAAATCAAAAGATTTCAATTACTAGGGATGTATTGTTCAGGTCAACTCATAGTCACATAGATTATTCGATTTGTTACCTGTCACCTCCTACCAACACAAGTACTTAAACATATGTGAAAAAAATTGCAAGCACTTCATTGACTACTAGGCCACACCCTCGGGGTGTGTACTTGTGTGCTATGATTATGATGTTTTCACCAATTCAATTTCCCAATTAATAATTTGATCAGTGGATTGTCTCAAGTATATGAAGAAAAGACAGATGCAAGGTTTACCTTACCTTAAGAAGCATCATCATCCGAACTAGAATCATCAATTCTCCTATCTGTGCAAGGTTTATCACTGTTGAGGTCGATTTCAACCCTAGTTAATCACAATAATAACACCCACATGTGCAAGATGACCTTTTTTTTAGGGGTGGGGATGAGGTGGGAGGAACAATAAGGTTATAAAGACGATCAATTTTAGTGTTTCGATATATTGAAGGGAACAGGAGATCACCTTCTTTAAGGGCATCACAAACTTCTTCAGTTGTCACATTTAAATAAAAGCCTTACGTAGAAATCAAAGCTGAACATAGTTGTCTAAGTTTCCCCAAACACATCCATTTCAGAGCAGGAACCAACCAACTGAACATAGTTGTTGAAAACAGAAAGCCCCAAAAGGAATTCATACAAGTACACAATATTAGGGAAAAACTAATTACTGTAAAGAACAAGTATTCCCAATATAATTTCTTAAGTGAATTCTAGAATTATATAAAAAGGATCGAGGAAAACTTTGAAATGCAACATGGACGAATAACAAAACAAAAAGTGAAACGATTCGATTAGTCGGTACATATATATATATATTGATTAATGACTTTGATACAAGGAGTCGGCTAGTGAGGAGACTATTATAACGATGAAATCGGGCATAATATTTGTAGTTGATATGTGTGCTTGCAAGAAAAACACTGACATGTTGAAGGATTACAATATTAACAAAATGGAGCAGCAGTTGAAAGAGCATGTTTACAAAATTTGGAGCATAAAAAATACTACCAAATTAGTTCACCAAATTAAATGTCAATTTCTTAATCTCAAAATGACAGAAAATTAGCTTAAAATTAAAAGTAATCGTTATTTTCTATCTCACTCTTCCGCTCGAATATTAGCAAACCACTCTCTACAGATCAGAACTGAATGAAAATAGAGAAAACTAATGCACGATAAAAAGAAAAATATGGCATACCCGTAGTTGAAATTCTTATAGAAATAGCTGCAGATCGTTAACTTCACACTGAAAATAATTTCAAAATGTGGTGAGGAAACTTCAAGTTAAACCCACAACAGTGAAAGACAAAAATTAACAAATCTAGAAAGTTGATTCAGTCGGAACCAAATCTATAGTAAAATTTTCTTCCGGCTAATTACCACCAAAAACCCATATGAACAGAGCAGGTTCCAAAAAATTATAACAAAAGAAGACCAAATTATTTACTGCATGTGACTAAAAAGCTTTGAAATGCAACATGAACGACTAAAATATCAAATAACAAAACGAAAATTGAAATTGAAAAAACACAGGAAATAACATCTAGGAAATGCAAAAGGGACATTGATAGAAACAATATAAGAAAACAAAAAAAAATCAAAGCTACTGACTAAGATTCAAATTATTGGGGTCTCCAAAGCACAAACAAAATTGAACAAGAAAAGAAGGAAATATAAAGACACTCGATCAAATGTTGAAGATATAAAAACTGATAATTGCATAACAATCACAACTCCAAAAAGAAAAACAACCATCACGCTTCAATGTAAGAAAAGATCAAACAAATAATTTGGGGGAGCCTTACCTGAATCAACTTTAGAAGACACCTAAAATATATATAGTGGAAAGATGAAACCACACACCTTATGATAATGTGTCCATTCAACAACACACCTTTAGAAGACACCTAAGATATAGTGAAGCACTAAAAAGACATAGATACCCTCAGATTTGAATTAATGTACGTCCATAAAGCACACATGTTGAAGAAGCCTTTTCTAATATAGTAAGTAAGTAGGGATTAGGCTAAAAAACACATCTATAAATACGTTAATCTACCACTAGATTTCTAATATGCCAAAAAAAGACTTCTAACTACTTTTTTCTTTTCTCATACAAGTGATCGATCTTCTTATTAGCTTTTAAAAAAATGGCAATATATGTCCCTACCGCCAATAATTGGCACTATGTCCATTTTTCCGTTATTGGATACATTACTGATGTTCGTAATCGTGTTCAACCCCCCATTATTGAATACTTATCTTATACTCATGATCAACACAGATGAAACTTTTATGCAGAATTAAGAGTTAGCGGGATACAGGGGCATTGCAAGAGACGATAGGGGTAGGTGGTTAGGAGGATTCATGGGGCGATTAGGTGTGGTAACAACGTCGTGCCTCATGGCAGAACTGTGGGCCATACATGGCGGACTGACCTTGGCGAACAACTTCAATTAAAGCCTCAGAAGTTGGATCTTTGTTTATAGAAATTATCTCAACAGAAACAACTCGCCTTCTTGAATTGTACTTTTAACCACCTAAGAAGTAACATTCGTGTTTGTAAAATTGGAACTTTCACTCGGGGTTTGCTGAAGAAGATGAAGACAGAAATGCAGACTGTTCTTCATTGACATTATTGGGAAAATTACTAGATACTTGGCACAAAGGCAGTTTATTGCCTGGCCTACCTTGTCTTCTCTTCATGGGAAGGGATGGAGATGATTCGGGATTGAACCGGAATTAGGGTTAGGATTAGAATTTTGGAAGTGAATTGAAATTGGGAGTAAAATTAATGATCGGGTTTGAGTTAGGCAAATGAACTGGGAATTGTTTCACTAGTACTATGCAAACTTTTGATTGAGCTTCTATTTTTGCAAGAATGGCGGATGCTGGCTCTCTTAGAGTCATGATCACTGATGTGAGCTTCAGTCCGCTGTTCAATATCAGGCTTAAATATTCTGCTCAGCACACTCCAAAACTAGTTGTTGATAAGGGAGAACTTTCTGTCTCTTCATAACGTGCACAACACAAGCATCAATTGCATAACGTCTATCTTTGTCGATATCTTCCAAGTCAATTTCATGTTTTCTGATATATTCAATAAACAGCTCATTCTGCACTCTCTCAAGAAGTTTAGTCTTACAAGATAATGAGATACTCAGTTATCTCTTTTTTACAACATAGTCAATGAGAACTATATATATATTTTATATGATTGCGTTATAATGATAGCTATGTTTTAAAAAGCACCTAGATTTATGACAGTGTGATTACAGTTAACATATATCTGGTTATCAACCTTGATGTTGTGGCTTGCATGTTATAGGAGACAATCGACTCTTTTGCTCATTGTCTGCAAGGACTATACATATGAAATTAGTGCATAAAAACTATATACATTCTACCGTCCATAAACTATATACTTTCTGTCTCTTCATAACGTGCACAACACAAGCATCAATTACATAACGTCTATCTTTGATGTACACACCTTTTTTATTTCATCCAAAAGAGGTGGAAGCAAAGGGATCCTTGTCCTCCTCATTGTGTAAGTGTACTCAAAATGTTCAGTTGAACAAAAATTTGTATTCTATCTGAAGCATTAAACAGAACCGCTGGTTGGCAAGTTACATGTACTTGATGAATACATCCAAGTCAATTTCATGTTTTCTGATATATTCATTAAACAGCTCATTCAGCACTCTCTCAAGAAGTTTAGTCTCACAAGATAATGAGATACTCAGTTATCTCTTTTTTACATTAGACTTGAGGCTAAGATTTATTGTATTTTGTGCTTAAAGGTGTTGTAAAGTCAAGAACAACCACTGTTAAGTAAAAAATAGTCAGGTATGAGTCCTTCCCCACCTCTCTTTCCTATTTCTTTTTCTTGTTAAGAGTTTCAACTTCTTCATGGATCCCTTTTTTAACTTGTTTCTCAGGAAGGCTAAAAACTTTGGCAGAGGCATCGGAACCACTTTATCTGCTGGGGATATCAGAACTAATGTAGTCGCGAGCTGCTTTAGCTCTATGCCTCTGGCAAGTAAAAAATTGCCTTCTACTGGTTTGTGATAAGGGATCTCACTTCCTCTAAGTTTGAATATTCTCGTAATGACAACATTGGGTCTAAACCATTGGGTAGTGGTTATGGATATGTGCTTCCCGTCCTGAGAAAATTTGTTGCCTGATCTTGCTTGCCTTATCCAAAAGTCAGTTATAAGCAACCTCCACTTTTTTATCCAAATACTCATCTACGGGATTTCCATCAGCACGATAGAGTGTGGGCATTGATCTTTCACCTTATGAAGTGTATACGACAACTGTCGTTCCAACAGACCCAGTGGATTCCCTAGTGTACCTGTCAAAACACTCCCTCCTAAATCAGCAGTTGCCACCTTATTCCCTCCTTCCATCTTTTTTGTGTACACCCTTCCACCTACACACTTTCGTCCCTCCAAAACAGTAACCTCAAAGCCAAATAACATCAGTTGTCTCGCAGCCGCCAACCCAGCAAGACCTGCCCCGACAACAGTCTCTCCACCCTTTCTTGGATCAACTGGAATTTTGTCCTTAATTGCCAATGCCACTCCAAAATTAATATATCCATATGATAACAAGTAGTTGTACGCAGAATCTAATAGACCATTACAGTGTTCAGGTATAACATCAACAAACATATCTTTCGTCATCCAAATCGACACATTTTCATGCCATTTGGTACTAATATGATTTCTGATTAAAATGTAGTTATCCTATTCTATCCCGCCAACTACAGAAACAACCCTAATTTCACTTTCGTCATTCGTTAACGACTCAGATAAAAATCCAGCAGTTAATTCAATTAAAGCCTCAGAAGTTGGCTCTTTGTTTATAGAAATTATCTCAACAGAAACAACTCGCCTTCTTGAATTTGTACTTTTGACCACCTAAGAATTAACATTCGTGTTTGCAAAACTGGAACTTTTCACTCGGGGTTTGCTAAATTTATCTGAAGAAGATGAAGACAGAAATGCAGACTGTTCGTCATTGACATTGTTGGGAAAATTACTGGATACTTGGCACAAAGGCAATTTATTGCTTGGCCTACATTGTTTTCTCTTCATGGGAAAGGATGGAGATGATTCGGGATTGAACCGGAATTAGGGTTAGGATTAGAATTTTGGAAGTGAATTGAAATTGGGAGAAAAACTAATGTTCGGGTTTGAGTTAGGAAAATAAACTGGGAATTGTTTCACTAGTACTATGCAAACTTTTGATTGAGCTGCTATTTTTGCAAGAATCGCGGATGCTGGCTCTCTTAGAGTCATGATCACTGATGTCACGGAGAAAAGAAGTTGTAGCAGAGTAGCAACAATGCCCGGTTTTACCAAACATTGAACGTTTGCTTTTGAGGCAGACAAGTTGTGCAACGCGTTAAGAGACGATTGCTTAGCTTCTAGGTTCTCAGAGGCGAACATTTTGACTAGCGGTTCAACGGCTCCATCTTTTCCCTGGTTAGCTCTATTTTTTATCTGTGAGTTCCATTCTTGAATTGTTGTTTCCATTAGAATCTTACTCATGTCAGAGCCTACGATTGATCAAATAGCTTATTAAACTGCATATAATTTATATACAATGAATAGAATGTGTTGTAAAACCTCATGATCTACCTTACTAACTCATTTAAGGCCTCTTTGTATCATTTAAGGCCTCTTTGTATCAGATGTTTTCTGATATATTCATTAAACAGCTCATTGTGCACTCTCTCAAGAAGTTTAGTCTCACAAGATAATGAGATACTCAGTTATCTCTTTTTTACAGCTGAAACCAGTTGAAGAAACGACTCGATTTAATAAGTTATCTAAGTTCTTGGTGAAGCTCTCTTCCTCTCTTGTCTGAGTGAGGGGAAAATGAAATTAGTGCATAAAAACTATATACATTCTACCCTCCATAAACGGCTATAAGATTAGACTTGATTTTAGTTGGACTCACTAGTGTACTTGACGGTCTCGTCAAATTATCAAAATACTGTAATGTTATAACAATATATATAAAATTAGATGGGAAATGAAAAACTTTACATAAATAACAACTGTGTTAACATAAAAATGGATATATAAAAATATTAAGAAAAGAGTGAAATAAATTAAAAAAATTTATCCCAACTTCACTTTTTTAAGCTCCAAATAATTGAATTCAGAAAAATAATTGTCTGATACGGTGGAAGAAAACAAAATATCTATGATAACATTTGGAAGCCTATACTCCCTCTATTCTATACTAATCAAATATTTTGAGGCTTTATTATTTTTGAAAATAATTTAATTGTTCAAAATTTAAAAAAGTTTGTTTGATTTTTTTTCATACTAGTTTCTACGCGTATATCCCATATTATTTGTATACATTTTTTAAAATACAAGTCACTCTTGAATAAAATCAAAATCCACACTATCCAACTTTTACAAAATGCCATATAAAACTACAGAAAAAACTTGAAATTCCAAAGGTGATCAGAACATATAATTGATTTTAAGCCATGATACACAAATCACTTTTATGTCAAAATTTAATTTATGGGTTGTTACTTGTGCAAAAAAATAAAAAAAACTTGAATTTTTTAAATAAACTTTTGGTCAAAATCATCTCCAAGACGTTGATAAATCACAACAACACAATACAAGTATTAAATTAAACTGTGAGAAACTACATTTAGTTATTATAAGACTAATTCGGAATTTAATATGAAAATTTCCAAATATTCAAGCTAAAGAAAAGTGTAGTATACCAATATTTATTGTTACAGACACAAGAGAAATCAAGCAATTAAATTGCTATATATCAAAAATATTAGTACTCTTACAAAAATAGAAAGAAAAATAAAAATAAATAAAACACAATTATCTCGACTGACTTTTGTAAATAATCATTACATTACCATAAATACGTCCTATACTAACCTAACACTAAATTTAGTAACTTAAAACTACCAAAAAATAATAATCAACTTCTACTAGGATTAGAATTAGGCAAAATAAAACCCTTATAAATATGTACTCTATCGTTATGTTTCTAATATGAAAAAAAAAAACTTCTTACTTCTACATACTTTTTTTATTTTCTCAAGTTGTTACTTTTAACTACTTTTTCTTTTTCTCTGATCATATTATTAGCTCAAAAATGGCAATATATGTCCCTACTGCGCACTATGTCCATTTTCCTTTTTTTGGATACGCAACTAATGTTCAACCTTGCATCATTGGATATGTATCTAATGTTCATGATCATGATCAATCCGTAGTTAGACATAGAGATGCCCCTAGGTACATTAGTTGGTCATTCCCTCCGTCGGGATACATTAAGATCAACACGGATGGATCTTTTATGCAGCATTCAGGGTTAGCGGGATATGGAGGCATTGCAAGAGACGATAGAGGTAGGTGGCTAGGAGGATTCGTGGGGAGATTAGGTATGGTAACAACGTCGTGCCTCACGGCAGAACTGTGGGCCATACATGGCGGACTGACCTTGGCGAAGAACTTCAAGCTGAAGAACGTCATCATCGAGACTGACTCTCGTGAAGCATTGATGCTCATAATGAGTAAGGGACGCGCCGTCAACAATCATCTTGATCGCGACGTGATAAAAGAGTGTCAACGTCTCCTGTCCGAACTTGGGATCTCCATGATGCATACTCTAAGGGAAGGAAACAACAGTGCAGATCACCTGGCGAAACTGGGAAGAATGCAACTAGATGAAGAAATTGTAATATTACATCATCCACCACATTCCATGCACCAACTTCTTCTTGCGGACATGGCTCACGTTGCATACCCTAGGTACCGAAAGCATGTACGATAGTTTAGTACATATAGCACAAAGAAAAAATATATGAAATTGTACGTAAGCATTTGTTAATATTACAAAGAATATAATGAAATATATTTTTGTTAATTCATTGTAGGATTTATGTTTATGTTTGGCTGTGTATATAAATGATGAAGGACCAATGTCTATTTTCTTGAAATCAATGTTCATGGGATTAATACCTTGTTTCATATTTGATTGTTCTTTTTGGTTTTTTCTAATCATGTTAGTTGTCTCGATTTTAAATTTTGGGACTAAATTCGTAGCTAGAATTAATAAAGACAATAAGATTTATATATATTTTATCGTTCCTAGACGGCTATAAGATTAGACTTGTTTTTAGTTGAACTCACTAGTGTACTTGGCGGTCTCGTTAAAGTATCAAAATAAATGTAGTAAGATTTTACATTATGTATAAAAATATATGAATGAAAAACTTTAAATAAATAATAACTATGTTAACATAAAAATTGATATAAAGAAATATTAAGAAAAGAGTGAAATGAATTAAATTTTTGTATCCCAACGTTGAGGGGAGATAAAGTTGCTTTTCACCTTTTTAAGCTCCAGATATTTATATTAACTGAATATTTGTGGCTTTTTTTATTGTATAAATAATTTAATTGTTCAAAATTGAAGATATATATTTGAATTTTTTTTCATATTTGCCTTTTTATTTATTGAAGTTTTTTATTTCTAGGAAATAAATTACACTATTTATAAAGTTATATTTATTATTTCACAAAGGGCAATAGTGAAATTATAATTTAAATTAAGTCTTTAAATGTTAATATTCCTTCTGTCTCTATTTACTTGTCAAATATTGTCCTATTTCACATTTAGGAAAAATATCTTAAGTATTCCTATTTTGATTAGAGATTAATTATTTTGTTTAATTTTAGTAACTTAAAATTACCAAAACAAAATCATATAGTGTGAAATTAGAATAATACTTCATAAGATTACACATAAATACTTATAGGAACCTAACACTAATTTTAGAAACTTAAAACTACCAAAAATAATAATCATATTTCTACTTCTTCTAGGACTATGCTAAAACATTTGCAATAAAATGAGACAATGGAGAATTATGATGAATAACAAAGCTACCATTTCAATTAGTCAACACCATAGATAATAATCAACATAGCGACTTTGTTCAATTACATTTTTAAAAAATAAAGAATTATCAACTAAACTGGAGAAAGAATGAATAAGAATTTTCCTAACTACTCTTTTTAAGTACAAGTGAAAAATATTGAAATAGAGTCATGTACTAGCCATATCGTCGTCTTTGAGCAACTCCAACCACCTATGTTGCCTCGAATTGAGATCCCTCTGTTAGCACAACTTTCAAAAACTGAATCTCATTTCCATATTTACCATACTTGAGCTCAAAAATGATTCAGATCCCCTGCGCCAACAAGAACGAAAACACAAATTTAACAGGCATATTGTTATGGATCAGCCAGCCCAAGTCAGTAGGGAAATTGAGAATGGGCCTGAGACAATTAGGAAAAGCCAACGAATTAAACAGCCCAACAAAAAGCTACAAGACAAGCACGTGGGAGTAGTGTTATATGCAGGAGTATGGCAGAGTAGTGGGAAACAAAGAAATGATAGCAACACTCTCTTAATTCTCATCTTATTTCTTCTAAGGTCTCTCACCTCTTTCTATCTTATTGTTTAGTATTTTTCATACTGCAATTGCTGCTCTTGAGAGCTGAACTATTGAATCTCACTACTGTAATTGTTCTTCTTGGGTAATCAAATTAAGTATTGCTACTGTTTTGTTATTTGGGTTGAAGTTTGTTCCACATATACACAACATTTGGCTTTGACATATATAGTAATTTCATATACAACATATTGTGGTACTAATGACTCAGTACAGTAAAAAATCAAAAGATTTCAATTACTAGGGATGTATTGTTCAGGTCAACTCATAGTCACATTGATTATTCAATTCGTTACCTGTAACCTCCTACCAACACAAGTACTTAAACATATGAGAGAAAATTTGCAAGCACTTCATTGACTACTAGGCCATACCCTCGGGGTGTGTACTTGTGTGCTATGATTATGATGTTTTCACCAATTCAATTTCCTAATTAATAATTTGATCAGTGGATTGTCTCAAGTAAATGAAGAAAAACATAGATGCCAGGTTTAACCTTACCTTAAGAAGCATCATCATCCGAACTAGAATCATCAATTCTCCTATCTGTGATAGCTGGAAAAAGCTTCTGTCGGAGATCGAGGGGAGGTGGATTGGTGGACTCTGAAGTTTTACTTGCCACATTCTCCTTCTTTGGCGTGCCGTTTAGCTTTCTCTGAGCATTTTTCACCTCTATGCATACCTTATCTAATATTATCAGAAAATCACGAACGATAACAAACAATCGTAAACCTTCATCTTTCCCTGCATTTCCGTGGAAATAATCTCCTGTGCTTTTAACTAAGGCCATAATTCTTTTTTCTTCCTCGAATAACCACATGATGTCAAGCTCAGCATTCTGCACAAAAATCTTCAGGGTCTGGTGAAACCTATTTTCATCATCTACGTTCTTCATTTCTGAATTTAGGAAATCCCGTGATTCTTTTAGTGCACGACCAAGCTTGGATACTGTGCCTGTTAAGCTGTCCGCGTCCAAAATTGCAGCTTTTTTCACATTTTCAATTTCACTACTCAAACCTGAAACAACCTGTAGACCAGTACTTCGATAATACTCCTCTGCATCTTGAGACTGATCCTCGGGTAGATCATCAGACTTGATGCTAGACACACTCCCTCGGTCTCTGGCACGGGCAGCTCGTATACCTTCTGAACGGATTATCTCTTGAACAACAAAATGCAACAACGTAGTTTTGCCGTCTATTCCTTTTACATCTGATAGTTTCAGAAGCGTGTCAAGTTTAAATGCTTGAGCACCACCACGAAATGTTCCATCATTCATACGATTGCCAGTTTTCAAAACTGCCTCAAGGAGCTTGTGAAACAACCTGCTCTTCCGTAGTTCCGTGCAAGCAGCCTGAAGCATAAAATAAGATGCACCAAACACCAATATCAGGATATTTGTAGAAAACAAAGGGATGTCAAGGCTACAAATGTAAGGTGCAAGACAGATTCTGCAATGATATACTCCCTCCGTTTCAATTTGTTTGTGTTACTTTCCTTTTCTGTTTAAAAAAGAATGCCTCTTTCCTTTTTTGGCAATTGTTCAATTATTACTTTCCACATGACATGTTTAAAACCACAAGATTAAAGGTCATTTTAGTACATTCTACATATCAGTGTTATCAAAGGCGAAAAGCGCAAAAAAGCTCTATTTGTTGGGGCTTTAAGCCTAAAGCGCAAATAAAGTGTAGGCTTTTTGTACCAAGAAAAAGAAAGTGTAGGCTTTAATAAAAAAAGGCGCAAAGGGAGAAAAAATACATAAATATATGTTCAGTCCAAAACTAATCATTATAAACATGAATGACAAATATATGAACAAAGAAATTGAAAAAAGATTAAGATAAAGGAAAAATATGTCTTAGAACCTTCATGAAGACACTAAAGCGCACATAAAGGCTCTAGGAAAGATAGGAAGTGCAGTAGTATAATCCAGAAAATTTGTAACTAATTTTTAAGATAATGTACACTTAATGCTAATAAAATTCCGTCAATCAGATTGGTCAATGACAATGCAAAGTACGACGCTCAGCAAAGCCTCGGCGATAATATGATGTTGCAGATAGATAATGCTCATAGCAGGAGTAAAGCTTCTCTTTAAAGTACATGTGGTTGCAGAACCAAAGATGTAGAAAGACACAAATAGTACACCGAAGGGACGATGGCCTTCTTAATGATAAGATGAACAAAGACATGAAGGGGCAGAAACAGAAAACAGGGAACAAATATATGATAAATCAACATTTATCATATATCTTTTTGAAAGAATACATGGGTTGGGTCTTCAGGGGACAGCAGTCGCAAACCTAACACTACTGCTCAAAGTTACAAGGAAAAGAAGAAAACATATAAAATAAAGTGACCAATATCAATTGATACTACATATTCCTCGATTCTCATATTACCTACATTTACCTATCCTAAATTGACGTCAACCCTGCCTGTAAAATGAAAAACTTTTCCTTTTCCAATAATTCAGAACCGTATAAACTCATACTATCTACATTGTCTTTACCATGACAAGAAAACTTTGCATGAAATCATTTCACTTTTGGAAAAATTATCACTGTTGAGGTCGATTTCAACCCTAGTTAATCACAATAATAACACCCACATGTGCAAGATGACCTTTTTTTAGGGTGGGGGTGAGGTGGGAGGAACAATAAGGTTATAAAGACGATCAATTTTAGTGTTTCGATATATTGAAGGGAACAGGAGATCACCTTCTTTAAGGGCACCACAAACTTCTTCAGTTGTCACGTTTAAGGCAGTTATCTAAATGCTTCAGGGAAAAGACAAACCTAACACTACTGCGAGATTGGTTATCTTGGCAGGAGGTAGTGGGGGAGGGGCTGGACTAGTAGGATCTTCAAAAGGATTTACCCTACCGGGTGGAGGCTTAAGCGGAAGCTGTACCTGCATCCCCATTCTTCCAGGCGGTATCTGCTCAGAAACCCCTGCTGCAGCCACAGCAATGCCCGTAACATTTCCCCTTTCTGTATCCAACCCCACAAACCTTGCAATAGCATATAAAAAAGAGTGCAACAACAATAAATGTGACTGCAGCAGTCACAAGAACTGCAACCAAAACTGTTTTAGTGCTGCTTTTTTTCTTATTTGATTGACCATCTGAAGTAGAGTTTTGACTAGTAGAAGACTGATCACTAGGAGCAGAGGTTTTGCTTGAATCATTGTAGTCTCGAGGAAAAAATGGCTGCGTAGGATGACGGGCAGGTGGCAGAGAATTGGGAGTTTCAGAACTGGAAGTAGCTGGAGC